TCAGTCGGTTTAGTCTAACCTAACTGTCCCTAGGCCGACAGTATGCAGTATCCAACATCTCAAATAAAAAAACCAAACCCCAAAGTTTGCAAGTTTAAAGCCCCTGCAGAGAGTATGCTTCGTGCCACCTGGTTCCTTCACTGCGCTGGACGTGTAAGTGGCCTGTCCAGTCGCCCAGCTGAAGCACAGCGGTTTGGGAAGCGGTCAGTACAGCTGTCACACCAGTACCGAGGGTGGGTTTTGAACCTGGCATGGCTGTTCTGGTACAGGAGGAGTCACCTCTACAAAACCAGGAGCTCCGTGTGCCCGAGGGCCCTGGGGGCTTGCTCCGTGCGCCGAGAGGGAGAGCGCTGGGCCAGCCAGCGCCTAACGTGCCTCCGCTGCTCTGTACGGTTTGGCACCTGACGGCGCTGGGGGCCCAGCCCGCGTGGGTAGGGGAGCAGCAGCCTGTGGCCGCACGGCTGCCACCACCCAGCCCCGTACACCCGGTCAGAGGACAAGCGTGGTTCAAGCCACAGTTGCCTGTGGCTACGCGCTTGTCGCCTCTTCTCCTCCGTTACTCTCAGATGTGCTCGGGGCGGGGGGAAGGTGGCGCTCCTGCTCCTCGCCACGCTGCTGGAGTTCTGTCTGAGCACGATCCACAGCGTTCCCCCCGCTCCCAGCCCTTCGGTGGAAGTAAAGCAGTGCCTAAAATCTGCTGTTTTCGCACCCCTTTTGCTAAGGCTAGCTGTACGTTTGTACAGCCCCCTGCGGCGCGCTCAGCGTGGCAGGCACTCGTGTTCAATCTAAAGTCATTTCACAGTTTAAGAGAAACCCAATAGGCACAAGCTTGTTGAAAGCCACCATCTTGAAAACTTGAGTTGATGACAGTAACCCAAAGAGATTTTAATGATGAATACTTGCAGAAATGAGAATAAACATATGTAGTCCACTACTTCAGCGCTTGTTCTGATCGTGTTGGGCCAGGCTTCTCAGTGAGGTCTGCTAAACTTCTTGATCAGTATTGGACATTCGTATACTGTCCTTCCAAAGGCGGGGAACAGCCAGGGCGGTACTTTGACCCACGCGCTCCCTCACCTCAGTCAAAGCTTGTCGTCCGTCATTTCTAGAAACTGAGCATAGACATCCCTTGAGCATTCCCCTTTTTGGTTGAATAAGAACTTGTAGTAGCTGCCATCCGCACATATTGCTGAAACGAAAACAAACGCGTTAAGTTCAGCTGTTCCAGAGGTACCGCTCCCTTCCTTCAGCTACAGCTTAACCTTGTGCGGCGTCAGTCAGCCCAGCACTGTGCCCGCCCTGGGCGCTCCTTGGTCTTACACCCTTGCAGCGCTGAGCAGCGGGAGCCCCTGCTCTCAGCTGGCGGGGACACGCAGCCCTGTCTCCCCTCAGCGTTCCCCCCAGCCCAAGCCAGCGTGGTTCAAAACCTGGTTCTCCAGGCAGAACCTGGGGAAGCTCCAGGACTTACCTATGACAGCGTTTGGCTCTGTTCCAAAGGCACAAATGCACGGAGAGCCTGAGGGAACCTGAAATTTGGAAAAACTCCATTTGGAACTGAAGTATTTGGGGAGAAAGCTGGCAGAGGCCAAACTGAAAGAGAGGAAAAAAAAGCATAACAACTTAGTAAGGCGTTGACTGGAGCTGACTGGGAACCGCTGGCGCGTTTGAACAAGTGGCAGGGTTCGCACTAGCTGCTATTTTTGATTGGCTTTTTATTTTCTTTACAAGTATCGGGTAGTATGTACGATTCCCCTTCTAGGGAAGGGGGACCCTACAACTCCCTTCAGGCTTTCTGTTCTTAAATGACTGCAAAAACTGCCAAAAGCATCGATTTTTAGCAGAGACTGCTTCATGCGACGTGTCCACAAAGTCTGCTTGTGCCAAGAGAAAGCCACTGAAAGACCACCCTAACCTGCTGCTGGAATGCCGCAGCTCCGCAAAGGACAGCGGGAACTTGGCGGTTGCTGTACAGTCCCAAACCTGCAGCTTCACTCGAGCACAGCAGGTTAATCTTGCCCCTCCGGTCGCGTAGGTATGCGCTGCTGCTGGACCGAACCGCTGCTCTGAACTCCAGTAAAAGGTCAAGGCCCCCCCAGCCCCTCCTAAAGGCTTCAGAAGGGCTCAAACCCTACCTTGACTGCTTGTTTCTTTTAGGGTCTTCTGCAGCAAAAATGTGTACTGTGCCGTGGTCGCTGGACACGCAGATTAGGGAAGCATCCTGATTGAAGTTAATACTGTAAGGAATAGAGACAGTTGCAGTATTTCTACTGGAGCACAGCCACAGCTTCTGTGTACACACAGCTCTGCTTCTGCAGTTGCCTAGAGCAGCTGCCGGCCTGGCAGGCGAGGCATTAACAGCTCCTCTCCTGGAGGAGCTGGGGCTCCTCCAGTTCAGCGCTAGGAGGAACAGCCCCGTCAGGGGTGGAACTGTATCGGAGCAGCCACGCAGCAGGCTGCCCTGAGGGGGCACGATCTCTGCCGCTTCTGCTGGAAGAAACAGCACGAGCTCTGCTCCGAGGAGTAGGCAGGTCGTGGATAAAGCGTGCAACGCTCCTACCCCAGAGTGGCGCTAAGCGGAAGGAGGGAAGTTCCCCTGCTCCTGGGAGAGAGCTTCCAGCAGTGGATTAGGGCCAGACTCTGCCTTGGGCTCTGGCCTGCAGGGCAGCGCTGTGTTGTAATAAACCTGTGCTCGGCCCAGTCTCTCTGGGCAGTGTTACGCTGCATCACTGCTTTCCCCGTATGTCAGCATGAGGCTGCAGCATCCCCCCAGCTACCGTTTATTCTGCGCAGAGAAGTGGGCCTAGCGACAGATACGCTCTTGTCCCAGCCCCTGGAGCCTGTGCTGGGCTTCACACAGCTGCCAGCTGCTGCTCCCTCCTCACCAGCACCGAGCAGAGGGAGCAGCAGAGGCCTGGTGCGGCCCTGGGACCTCTGGCTGCCGGGAGAGCTCTGCCTTCTGCCTGTGGCAGCGTAACTCTGCTTTGCTTTGTGAAGATGACTCGGGTGCCGTTTACCAGGCTGCCTCGGCACAACGCGACCCGCAAGAAGACAAAGCAGAAGCAGCTAAACATACCAGTATATATTGGCTGCCTGTGATCCTCTTCGTAGCTCCTGGATTAAATTCCCTGATGAAGTATCAAATATTCTTATGAGGGTCCCCTTGAAAAGGAATCAAGCATTATACTAGGGAAGACAGAAGAGACTTTACATCTGTGACTGCATCCTGAAGGCCTCCGACCAGCACGCCCCTACATACACCATCGGGTTTTTCATCTCCGTACATCTGAGAGAACCTCTCAATGCTAATTTTGGGGGAGAATATTGATTTGCCCCCACCCCATCACCCCAGCGTTACAGTGCTTTGGCGTACAATCTTGCTACTCAGCTAAGTAAGCGTCATCCACGTTACGTTCCAAAGCGCTAGCACAGCCCTGGCATCGGTTTGCAAACATTAGAGTAGACTTGTGTACAGCCGCCTGTGCCCAGGTTCCGTGAGTCACATCTTTCTTGCTCCCCATAGCCAGTACTCTGTTTGCTACTGTGCAATTTTTTTCCGCTTAAGTATAACGAGCCCGTGGCTGGTCTTGCCTTACAATTAGTTCAGTTGAAGTAATCTAGAAGAATTAGTTATCTCTGGCGCGCTCGTTATCTGTGTTGATACAAATGCGAGAGACCCCAGAAACGAGTCAGGTTACAGACAATGCTGCAGTAGAAAACCGCACTTCATTTCCAGCAAACTAAGCTGGACACCAGCGACGTCAAACAAGTCGGTGTACCCCCGATAACGCGATCATCAGTTCAGCAGTACTTCCATCTGCGAGAGCGGGGTGTACGTTGCTGCCTACAACTCGTGTTACACACCTGGTTAACAAATGCACCTCTCCAGTCGTGCACCAGTAAAGAACAGAGCCCAGCAGAGAAAGATGCAGGTAAATGGCAGCTTAGTTTTGATTTAAGACACGAGCTTGAGATGTTTGCTTACAGGATGCTCAGTACGGCCGTTTGCCCATACTCCTATGTCAGTTCGAAAATGCTCTTTGAACTTTTTATCTATCTACGCAAAAAAAGGCATGTCTTATGCAGCAGATTATTATTCTATTTAGCAATGGAGTTGGCAGTTTTAAGAGCTTTGATTAGAAGACGTACAGTAATTAAGCTTAGATAAGAGAGACTGTGGCTGCATTTTCTTTTTTTAAGCTTTTTGAGCTATGAGCTGTGCAGTAGAAGCTATTCTAAACAGAGACTCGTTGGATTAATTTAGCTTGTCCTTGAGAAACTCATTTCAGCGGAGTGGAAGACGGTAGCGAGCGCCCAGCGTGCCTCAGGTAGATGGGTACATCTGCCTCGCACTCCTTCGGGCCCAGTCATCCCCGGGAGAAGGAGCTCGCTCGCAGACTTGGGGAAGTTCCCGTGGCGCGGGCAGGTCTGTGACTTGCTTTGCATTCTTTCCCAGCCCAGCCCAAAGGGATCTGCACTGTGCAGTAGCTGCAGGTTTTGTCAGCACATTGCGTTCTTCAGCCCGACGTAACACAGGGCCGCGCACCATCTGGTAAATATTCCAGGAATCGTTATAATTTACACCCTGCGTGAAAACATCTGCAGCGTGTGTATGAGAAGAACGGAGGCAGTGCATCTCCGTCCCAGTCTGTAGCAGGAGTGAAGCCAGAGCGGAACCAAGTCCTCCGGTACAACAGGCCGATTTGCAGCTATTTCTTTAGCCAGTGGTTTTAAAGTAAATTTAAGCAGAAACTAATAAAGGTGAAAGAACGCAAATAAGCTTCCCCCTCCCCTTTGTTTTTAAAATTAATGTTATTTATTGAAGAGCACATGAAATGTGAACTGCTTGGGCCAGATCTCGCTCAAACGTCACTGGAGAGTCACTGCTACAGTCAGCTAAAACATAAACGCTACCTTGGGCGCTGCACTTGGCTTGCTGTTTGGACAGCCTAAAGGGCAGGAACAATAGAGACTGAGAACACGTATTTCAGCGACAGATATTCTAGTTAGTTATTTCTGTGTCTTTCCTATGAAAGGATGTGGGTTTCTATTTTAGGAGGAGTTACTACACTGGACTGCACAGTAAATCAGAGGTAGGAGGGCATTATTCTTACTTTTTCTGATGCTGTTGCAATTCTTGTTCCCTGCAGGTTTAAAGCTATGCAGCTCAAGACTCCTTCGTGAGCCGGTATGTCGACAGGAGGCTTTTCCGTATTGGCGAGATCCACGATCTGCACGTGGCCAGTATGTGTCCCAGGAAATGCAAGAAGAGAATTATTACTATTTGGACAAAGGACACAGAGACCTAAAAGACATAAAAAAAAAAAAAGAATAACTGTGTAGTTCCCATTATCTGATAAAGTTTTCAAACATAAGTTGCTAAAATATCGGTAATTTCAGAATAAACAAACATACATGTAGTAAATCAGAATTTCATTTTAATGGCTATTCGGTATCCCAAAACATGATCCATCCACAAGTGCAGAGCACAGAGAAGTAGGGGAGTAGCATAATTTTAACTTGCTCTCATCACTTTATTTCAAAGTAATCTAGTGGCGGTTAATCCAAAATCTGGATGTTTTCGGAGATCAGCTCCATCAGTCTGTTACAGCAAAGCTATTTAAAAAAAAAAATACAGAAGTCTCCTTAGCAGCTCGAAAAGGGTCAGTTTATACTAGGTGATGTTTTCGTTTCTCCTCCGTCAGTAAAACTGATTGTTATGAATTCATGTTTGAACTTGGTTCTTACAGTACCTGCACTTTTTTTTCTTCGTAACTTTTTTGCAGACCATTTAAGGCAAATCACATCTCTCCCAGGTGTTCGCCGATACCAAGTACCTTCCTGCAAACTCTGCCCACAGCCGGCAGAGCAATGAGCGGCTGTCACGAGGGACAACAGACTCCTACTGCATCTTCCACCGTACGCCCCACAGCCCCGTCAGCATGCCGGGCTGCGTTTGGGCTGCGCTGCCCCGAGCGCAGCCAGCCATTCCACGTTTGCTTCTAGCAGGCTTGAAAACCTCCGAGGATGGGAACCCCCAGCCTAAGGAACCTCCTGGTGGAGAAAACATCGTCCTGACGTCCAAGCTGATCCTCCCAAGGTAACACGCGTGGCCAACACCCCTCGTTCTACTGCCCGGCACTGCCAAGAAGAGCTTGGCTCCATCGTTTCTCTAACTGTCCTTCAGGCGGCTGTAAGCCCCCAGCTGCAGGTGGCCCTCACGGTCTCCTTTCTGCACGAGTAAAGGAGCCCCGCTCCTCAGCCTCCCCGGGCAGGCCTGGTGCTTTGGGACCCCCACCGCCCCGCAGCAGGGCAGCGCTGTGCCCGGGGCGGGTATTCACACAGCTGCCGTTAGGCCCCTCCAGCTGCAGACCCGCACGTACACAGCTGCCGGGGGAGCGCGCTTAGCTCCTCCCTCTCAAGGCTCTCCTTCCAGACAGGGCCTCCCTTTTTCAATAAAACCTACGGCAACAAAACCGCTTCCTTAGGCCAAACCCAAGCCCTCTCCCTCCCACGCCCACCTGGAGCCTAGAGCTGGCATCACCGCTCCAGCGAGCGCTTAGCCTGCGGCTCTAATACTCGCCGTGGTCCAGGACACCTTCTGCTCGTTTCAACAAAAGACAAAGCCCTACCTTGCTATTATTTAGGAAGAGCAATATCAGTTTGCGAATTAGGCTCTTTTTGACACTGTAGAGAACAGTTTGCTAGAGCTCTACTAGAAAAGAGGAATGATGCACTTTAATAGTTTGTGTTTATAATTAAACTTTCAGCACAAAATACATCAAGTTTACAGGTTCTTTACAGAAGAAAGCATATAACTCTTATAGAAATCGGATCTATAACCTAACAGGAGTACAGGAAAAAGCTTTTCTGCACCAAGTATTAATAAATTTTAATAACCATTTTATAAACACAAAAGCATCTCCAAAGGGCATGACCGCAGTGCCGTAAGCAAACTGATGACTTACTAATGAAACTGATTCAGGCAGCTAAAGACAAATAGCACGTCAAGAACAGACTAAACTCGCCTCCATTCCCCAGCCCACGCATGCAACTCACCTTTAGGGTTGTAGCAGGTTTCAAAGACGTGCAACTGGTGGGGATTGTGTGTGAATGTGAAAACTTTAATCATCGAGTCCAAGACTACCACAATTCTGAAACAGACAAGAAGGTCCTGTGACTTGGGGTGGGTACAGCGGGGACACAGACAGTAATTCAGACCTGCAAAGGCTTTCCACTGATGCAATAGCTATATTCTTCCCCCGCCCCAACAGACTTGCAGCCTTGCAAAAAAACATGCAACCACGAGCCTGCAAAGCACTTTTATCCAAAGCTGTGACAGCAGAACCCCTCTGCCCGCAGGAACGCAGACTCCAGCTGCTAAGAGATGCTCTTACTCTAGAGCCCTGCTTGAATTCCCTTCACGCTCCTCCACACCTCGAAGAGGTCGGCAGTAGCCGCAGGAGAACATTTCCCACATTAGGGGGCCAGAAAGGCTCACAGCCTTTTCACCAAGGTTTCCGATACCAGTATGCTGGAGCTGTGATCTGGTAACGCCTAATGCCTGCCCCTAAAAGCCTGTTTTACCTTTCGTTGCTGGTGGTCTTTATCCAGGTGCTCAAGCAGGATCTTTTTCCTTCTACAAACAGCTGGAAATGAATAAGACCAGCGCACAAAGCCAAGCCGCACATTTGGAATGCATTTTTTGTACCTACCTGTCTCTTCGCAGCTTAACTGCTTTGACTTCTGTAGAAAACTCTATCTCAATGACAGTCTTCTTCTTCAGGTCATCCCAGATCATTACTGGAACAGTGCAGAGATTGCATTAGGTCAAGGCAAATCTGAAGATCCGCATCGTCTCCGTTATAACAACCTCTAGTTTCCGAGAGGACTAATCAAGGGGAGCACCCAACGGCTACGCAGTGACAGACTGGCACCCTGCTCACCAGGAGGCATTGAGCTACTACAGCTCAACCCACTCTTTCACGCGACGATGCGTGCAGGTAGGAGCTGCTAAACTCTCGCCACAAAAGCTGACAATAAAAATACATTTTTCTAAAGACAATCAGCTTTTTTTGTTTTGCTCTGAGGGTTATCAAAGAAATAAGGCAGCAGACAAAAAAGGAACATATTTTCCTACCGAGCTTGCCAACCAGGGGCCTTTTCCCCCTCAGGCTGCTGAGCTGTAGGGTCTCTTTGCAGAGTTAACTGTGAGAAGTAGAGACTTTGTCACCGGGGCTGAGCCCGGTCATCGCCTGTTAACACTGCAACAGCAGCGATGCAACTTATTTCACCGCGTTTACTTAAACCTGCTGCCACATCCCCTCCACCCAGCCCTGGGAATACCAGACCCCCAGCTCAAGGCCTTTGGTTTGGGAGTTCTTTGGGCGGTTTCACACAGACAGCAAGGCAGACATTTACAAGCTCTGTTCCTCGAGACTCACCTTTGTTAGGTGGGTACTTCGGCTTTTTTCCTCCACCTACTAGTGCTAAATAGTTGCAGCGAAACAACATTTCAACATGGCCAACGCCACCTTCTAGAAATTCTGAAAGACAAATGTATTTTATTTAAAAGTGTCAAAACCTGTTAAAATGCCATCTAGTTTTTACCACTGTTACAAGAAAAGTTCACGTTATCCAGCACTTCTCTCGGGCACCTGAGAAGAACAGTATCTTCCTACCCTGGCCGACCTTAAAAACCAGAGAATCCTCTAAGAGTGGGGGTGACAGACAAGAAATCCTGAAATCCTAAAAGGGTGGGTGGTTTTTTGTGTGTTTTTTTTTTTTATTATTTGATTTTTTTTTGTGCTTGTTTAAGATTAGGATTCTCAGCAGTTGCTTTATTTTTCATAGCAATGAAGATCACCACTGTTGTTGTCACACAGTTGGGATATGCCTCATTTTCATATGTAGAAAAAACAGAGCAAGGTTTTAAAGCTATATTAAAACGTGCTGCATGAAAGGAGATCAAGCAATATCATCCTGGCAGCTTGATCGTTCCTATTACACAGTGGATTTGTAAGTATGTTTAGAAAGACTGTCCAGTTAGCTCAAATTCATCCCCCCCCAGGCCCACACTCGAGTCTGGTGTTGCTCTGTTATGCTAATGCCGTGCATTTAGAGAAACACCAATGGTCTTCCTTAGTCAGGAACCTTTTTCTGTGCAAGGGGATTTGTCTTTATAGGCTTGGTGGATTTGAGGAAAGGCGGCAAAATGCACATGGACGTAACTGAACCAGACTCTCTAGTGCTGTTCTCTGGAGCGTACCCGTAGCTGCTAGAATAGGTAAGAAGTACGGTCCAGCTCAGCGAGCCTCTGCTCAATGGTGCAGGACACACAGCGAGAGCAAGACACGTCGGCTGGTGCAGCCAGCTTCTCAGTTACAGGGCAAGGAGAAGGTTTTTTTCTTTTCAAGAATCTCAACTGCAGAGGAAGGAGAGTACGATGCCATGCTTATGGTGCAAGTGGAGGAACAAAATATCAACCAGGGGACTTCATAATAAAAGAATTTTTCAATTTGATGACATTTGAGTGGGGGTGTGGCTTTGTTTACATAGCTTAGAGGGATGCT